GGTTCTCTCCTTTCTTAATAAACTTTTAGAAAAATAATATATTTTTTATATTTAAATTGTGTCCGGCCATTCCAAATACAGTAGAATATTTGGCTATGGCTGGTTTATAAGCCAAAGAAATGAAATTGTACAGTTTATGTTTTGGTAATAAGAGTTTAAAAGTTCGAAAGCATTGGAAATTACTAAAGAGAAATATTAAAATTGTTTCTCTACGGTGACTCAAACAGTTTTCTTTCTTTACGAATAATCTTATTCAGAACTTTTAAATGATCGTAAAACCAATATCTTATTATTTAAATTCATTTTTCAGGGAAATGTTTTTTATTTTTTGTTGAATTGAAAAAAGAATTAATTACACAGTGTTAACTATAAACTTTTCTTGTTCAAACTGAAACTTATTTAATCTATTTTATTTAGAGAAGAAATTAAAAGTCGAATTTAAGATAAAAAATAGGTTGAAGTATTGTAATTGATTGTTTTTTTAAATTCTAGAAATTTCTCTTATATTCAGTCCCCTCTTCTATACTCCAGACCGTGGCTCTACTTGTTAAAAAGTTTAAAGATTTGGTTTTGTTTATCTCAGGTCAAGGTAAACAAGTTTTTGAGAAAAGTAAACAAGATCTGAAACCAGTAAACAAGCTCTACAGGGAGTACTTTCGGATTCTCTCAATATCTAGAACTTTTTTATTCTTTCAATATCTAGAACTTTTATATTCTTTCAATATCTAGAACTTTTATATTCTTTCAATATCTAGAACTTTCAGATTCTTTTAATATCTAGAACTTTCAGATACTTTCAATATCTAGAATTTTCAGATTCTTTCAATATCTAGAACTTTCAGTTCTCTTTATATCTAGAACTTTCAGATTCTCTCAATATCTAGAACTTATTCTTTTAGTATCTAGAACTTTTAGATTCTCTCAATATCTAGAACTTTCAAATTCTTTCAATATCTAGAACATTCAGATTCTCTCAATATCTAGAACTTTCAGATTCTCTTAATATTTAGAACTTTTAGATTCTCTCAATATCTAGAACTTTTATATTCTTTTAGTATCTAGAACTTTTAGATTCTCTCAATGTCTACAACTTTCAGATTCTTTCTATATCTAGAACTTTTAGACTCTCTCAATATCTAGAACTTTCAGATTCTTTCTACATCTAGAACTTTTAGATTCTCTCAATATCTAGAACTTTCAGATTCTCTCAATATCTAGAACATTCAGATTCTCTCAATATCTAGAACTTTCAGATTCTCTTAATATTTAGAACTTTTAGATTCCCTCAATATCTACAACTTTCAGATTCTTTCTATATCTAGAACTTTTAGACTCTCTCAATATCTAGAACTTTCAGATTCGTTCTATATCTAGAACTTTTAAATTCTCTGAATATCTAGAACTTTCAGATTCTCTCAATATCAAGAACTTTCAGATTCTCTCAATATCAAGAACTTTCAGATTCTCTCAATATCTAGAATTTTTTGATTTTCTTTAAACATCTAGAGCTCAATTGTAGATCTCGCATAAATATGTAGAACTTTTAGATTCTCTAAATATAGTATAATGCGCTCCAGATCATTAGATTAGAATATTGGAAGGTTTAGTAAGTTAGTAACAAATGGAAGATATTATTTTGTGAATATTATATTTGTTGTGAGTAGTTGAAGGAAAGTAAACAAGTTAGCCTATTAGACAAATTTTAGGAATGTAAATAATAAATCAATTTTATTCGTAGTAAAAACATTTATACAAAAGTCTTATTAGCCGCATAAACTGCAGTCCTCGCCGTATATTTTAATTCCATTTTGATTTCTACAAGCTTTCAAACAGCAAAAACACTTAAGCATTTAAGCAAAGAGAAGTTGTCAATTAATTGCTTCTCTTTTTTACTCCTAAAATTGTAATTTGAAATGGATTGTTAGTGATCAAAGCATTATTAGTAAAAAGTCGTCCTTATTCAATTGATATAATCGTCGACCAGTGTATTATGTTTTTAGTTTATAAAGGAAAATCTATTAGTCATATCAAAGATGTAATGCAAAGAAAGTTATTTCAGAAGTGTACGCATCTTTTGTACTGCAGTGTACTGTCTCTGAGCGGTAATGTAAACACAAGACGGATGTTACCGCCTTACATTGGATCCATTTTTCACATTTAAAAATCAATGAAATATTCTGGTCGTAGGAAACTATTATGCGAATTATCAAAATTATCAAAATTTAATGCTTTTAAGCTACTCGGATACTAAAAGAACACTGATGCATCTATTCTTGTTTACAAATTCCGCCCAAAGAGAACTGGTTTCAATATGTACGCAGAGTATACACGAACGCAATTAACTTTCCTTGCATTACACCCTTGAGTCATATTGTGTTTTATAAATGTTTGAAAATTTCCAAGAATTTGCCCGAACTGTTTCTCGTATTGAGCCTAAGGGGCCCCCCTTACAGGTTATAATGAGTTTCTTCTAGACAGAATTATTTTACTTTATGATTCATTTAGTATTCTATTGTTCTACATTTGCCAGATTCTAAGTTGTTAGCCGAAACTTTAAACGGTTATATGAGTACTAAACCTAAACTTTTTATGTTTTATAAAATAAAAATATATATTCTTAGTCGTAACAATTGAAACGATTCCTTTGAGCTGAAATTTCCTAGATTTTTTTCTAAAGATAAAATACAACTATATGTTGAAGCTTATAAGTTGTTAACCAAAACTTGAAACTGTCTCTGCAACCTTTTATATATTGAAACCAAGAATCAATTTATTTATCCAAATGATGAAATTTAGGCACACACGCATTAAACTAAATCATATCAGGAAAAATCTTGTATGTTTTTATGCAAAAATCTTTTTACTAAAAAGTTCTTAATAAAGAAAAGATTGTTTGAACTCCTAATATGCAACCAAATACGTACGTTCTCATATAAAAGTGCAGCTTTTTAAAACTTTTTAAAAACATTTTTTTTTTAAATTTTAACCATACAACTAAGAGTTAGCATTCAAGAGATTTTTAATAAAGCTCATTGGATGTGCACAATATGACCTTATTCTAGATTATAATTTCATTCATTAAGAATTATTTTCATCACTAAAGCACGTTTCAAGAAAACGTACTGCAGTGTGTTGGGAATTTTAAACAGGTTGATTTAGTAGTTTTGCCGTCCCATCCTTTCCAATATCTTTGATCATGATTGTGCATTTTGTAATATTATTCCACACCCCGCCAAAACTATTCGATTGTTTTAAATTTGAGAAACCTTGAGGACAGGGAGGACAGGAGCACTTTACACAAATAGAAGTTTATTCTCAAATAAGAGAATGACACTGTGTCAAAACTTCTTCAACAGTTTTAGGAGAGGAGGAAAAGTAGGGTTGAGGAGAAGGAAGGGAGGAGAGAAGGAAAAGTAGGGTTGAGGAGAAGGAAGGGAGGAGAGGAGGAAAAGTAGGTTTGAGGAGAAGGAAGGGAGGAGAGGAGGAAAAGTAGGTTTGAGGAGAAGGAAGGGAGGAGAGAAGGAAAAGTAGGGTTGAGGAGAAGGAAGGGAGGAGAGGAGGAAAAGTAGGTTTGAGGAAAAGGAAGGGAGGAGAGGAGGAAAAGTAGGTTTGAGGAAAAGAAGATAGGAGAGAAACAAAAATAGGTTTGAGGAGAAGGATAGGAGGAGAGGATGAAAAGTAGGTTTGAGGAGAAGGAAGGGAGGAGAGGAAGAAAAGTAAGTTTGAGGAGAAGGAAAGGTGGAGAGGAGGAAAAGTAGGTTTGATGAGAAGGAAGAGAGGAAAGGAGGAAAAGTATGTTTGAGGAGAAGGAAGGAAAGAATGAATGAAAAGTAGGTTTTAGCAGAAGGAAGGGAGTAGAGGAAGAAAAGTAGGAAAACGTGGTAGAAATAAAATTGTTGGTAATGTAAGGTGAGGGGGGGGACTTGCATTGATTTATAATGATTTCAATTCATAATTACTTTTCCCGTTTATATATATATCCTTGAATGGATCCAGTAAACCCGCAATATATTTAGATGTCGTCTTTGTTACAGAGAGTATTTTGGAAGAAATCACATATTTTTTAGCAAAAGCACAAGAAAGCACAGGGGTTTCAGGATAATTTAAATGTATAAATAGATTCTAACAGCCATATAGAAAAGATTTAGGGGCTCCAGCAGTGGCAGCTGCCCCAAATCCTTGATCTAGTCCGAGTAGCGTGTTGAAAAATTCTATTTTAAAAGTTTTCAATGAAATAGCGGGTTTTTAACTTTTTGGTCGAAATTATTAACTAAAATATAACATTTAAACAACACTAGAAGACTTCTCTCACAAAAAAAAATTCTTTAGCGGCCAAGCCTTATTTGACATAAATAAGAGGTTTATGGAATAAATTAATTTTGGCTGACCCCCTCATAATACCCCCCTGTGCGCAGATTTAAAAGGCCAATTTTTTAGGTCAAAAACAGAGGTAAATGGTAAAAAAACGTATGGTCTAAACGAGATCTTTAAATTCTAGTATGTTTTTCAATATTTTTTTCCGGTCTTTAGACAAATATCCCTCCCCCCCTGAAAAATACCCAATTGTGGCGCCTCTGGCGAGTATATAAAGAAGGAAAGGAAAGAGAAACAGCAAGACCTGAAGCGAGTCTAATGGTACCAAAAGACAGAGAAACAGCAAGATCTGAAGCGAGTCTAATGGTACCAAAAGTCCCCTAAACTCCTTATTTTAGAAAACAGATAAACAGATGTTCTGTCAGTTAAAGATGAATATATAGAACTTATGTTTGATATCGTATCTCTGAGAAGTCAATAGTTAATTTCCTTCTCCTCTACTACGGCTAATATTGAATAGGTAGAAGAGAAGATAAGTTTGGCCGGTATATATCTCTTTTTCTATAAAATAAAGCTCTTCGCTCATATATATTTATAAAACAATTAGATTTTTTTAATGAGTAACGCCGGGCACTTAGAACATTATGAGTATTCTGGTATGTCTACACTTTTTTCAACAGTCTGACCTCTTGATCATATTAAAGACTGGTTCCACACAAGCTTCACATCCTGGTTCTCTCTATAAAATAAAAAAACTCACATTCTGATGAGAAATCTATTAGAATATTTCCAATTACTCCTTTAAAGCTCAAGCTAAAAAACAATTATTTTGGTATATAATCTGACTTTCATAACTTTTTAGATTTGCCTTGCTTCAGATACTCTGTATTATTTTAAACATAAGATAATACTTACAGGCCTTGTTGGATGGATAACTGGTCTAAGGCGTTTGGAGTTAAAATCATCTTAACATTTGCAATGTGTGAAAGGATGTTTGCATTTTTATGTAAGTTCTTGATATTTTAACCTCAAAATAATTTGATATCTAACTGAGTAAGTATCGCTGCAAGGGTTTGACTCCGAGAGTAAATCAAGAAATATAGAGAACAAGAATCCTTAGAAAAGTGAACTGTAGATTGTGCAGTGTTCAATACATATTTAAGGGGAGAGGCGGTGTAAACTGCAGATTGTAAATGGGAGAGGCGGTTTGCAGTGTTAACTACAGATTGAAGGGGAGAGGCGGTGTGCACTTCAGATTAAAGGTTGGAGTGGTAGTGTGCAGTGTTCACTACAGATTTAAGGGGAGAGGCGGTGTAAACTGCAGATTGTAGGGGGGAGAGGCGGTTTGCAGTGTTCACTACAGATTTAAGGGGAGAGGCGGTGTATAATGCAGATTGTAGGGGGGAGAGGCGTTGTGAACTGCAGATTAGAGTGTTGGAGGCGGTAAGCAGTGTTCACTGAAGATTGAAGGGGAGAGTCGGTGTGCACTACAGATTGAAGTGTTTAGAGGTGGTGTGCAGTGTGAACTGCAGATTGAAGTGTTTAGAGGTGGTGTGCAGTGTGCACTGCAGATTGAAGTGTTTAGAGGTGGTGTGCAGTGTGCACTGCAGATTGAAGTGTTTAGAGGTGGTGTGCAGTGTCCACTGCAGATTGAAGTGTTTAGAGGTGGTGTGCAGTGGTGGGGGGGGGCAGTATGCAGTGCAAATGTTTGTTATCAAACATGATATTTTTCTGCTTTAAAATAACTAGGACCGCTAATGCAATAGAACTGATATTACAAATTTGTTTTATTTTCTACGCAAAAAATCATATACAAAAAGGTTGACGGTTGAAGCGGAAACAAATTAAAAGTTTTATAGACATTTTAAAAATGTAACTTCTCTTGAACTCTGCAATCCAATTGGCCCTGTAAAGTACTTTTATTTAACAAAGCCTGATTTTTAAAAACAAAATAAGAATTTTTACAAATTTTGCTTAATCGATTACTGAAAGGTGCAGTGTAGTGTACACAGTGCAGTTCCCATCAACTGGATGAATTTACAACTTTTAACTTTTAATTCAATTCAAATTAAATCTAATCAAACCTTTAACTTACCTCATTAAAACCTGCTAAACCTTGTAAAGCCAAGTTTATAAAAGTTAAAAAACTAACTTTAAATAAATACTAATTATTTTGCTTAGATGATCATCTGTAAGATTATTCTTAGGAAAATCTCTTATTGATTCAATTATAAAATTCTACACGTTTCTAATCAAATAAACTTATGCAAATGGAAAATAACAAGATAAAAATTCTAATTTGGATGAAATTAACACAATAAGTGCTCATATTTGTTTCATTGTGCCTGTGGAAAAATTAAGATTGAAAAACAATCTTTTCTTTAAATTCTGATTTATTTCTCTAATCTCAACATTTTTGAATTCAATAAGTGTTATTTCTTTTCTTGTATACCTGCAATCCTATAATTGTTAAAATTACATAGTATCCAACGATTTACTTCCTTCTCAACAGTTTACTCCCCACCATTCCAACAGTTTACTCCCTACCATCCCAACAGTTTACTCCCTTCCATCCTAACTGTTTAACAGTTAACTCCCTTCCATCCCAACAGTATACTTTTTCCAATCCCAAAAGTTTTCTACCTTTCATCACAAGATCAGTTCACTTCTTCCAATCCCAACAGTTTACTCTCTTCCATTCCATCCAAACAGTTTACTCATTCAAATCCCAACAGTTAACTTCTTCCAATCCCAACAGTTTGCTCCTTCCAATCCCAACAGTTTGCTTCTTTCAATCCCAACAGTTTGCTCCTTTCAATCCCAGCAGTTTACTTCTTCCAATCCCAGCAGTTTACTCCTTTCAATCCCAGTAGTTTACTTCTTCCAATCCCAGCAGTTTACTCCTTTCAATCCCAGTAGTTTACTTCTTCCAATCAAACCAGTTTACTACTTGCAATCTCAACAGATTACTCCTTTCAATCCCAGCAGTTTTTTTCTTCCAATCCCCCCAGTTTACTCCATTCGATCTCAGCAGTTTACTCTTTTCAATCCCAACAGTTTACGTCTTTCAATTCCAACACAGTTTACTCCCTCCATCCCAACAGTTTACTCCCTCCATCCCAACAGTTTACTCCCTCCATCTCAACAGTTTACTCCCTCCAGTTTACTCCCTCCATCCCAACAGTTTACTCCCTCCATCCCAACAGTTTACTCCATTTCATTCCATAAAGTTTACTCCTTCCATCCCAAGAGCTTTCCTTTTCAATCTACAGTTTACTTCCTCCATTTCAAACAGTCTCAACCCCCCCCCCTTCCCAATCTCTAGTTTAAAGATCTAAAGAAGATTTTCTAGAATCAGTAATTCTTTCCAATCAGTTGACCAGTAACTTTTAGGTAGACTAAGAAACTAGATGGAGGGGGGGGGGGGAGGATTGTAGTTTTAGAAAAGGAAAAATTATTAAAACCCTAAGTAAGTTTTCTTTATTTGAAGCAAATGAAAAAATATTGGCACTAAAAATATATACAGAAGAAAAACTGGTCTCTTTCTCAACAATAGATAAAAAAGATAAAGTTTAAAAAAATCAAGTTAAATTGCAAGAAGCAAAACAAATAAGGGGGGGGTGTTTTGTTTAAATTTTGGTTAAATTATTTGAAGTCCATCATAATAATAGATTATTAGAATGTTTGTAAAATATAACATTGAAGCTAATAAATGGATAAAAAGGGAAAATGAAGAATAAGATTAGGAAGGATACAGGATATAAAAGAAAAAAGACATAAACGGAGATAAACAAAAGAAGATTTAAATGATTAGAGAGAAAGAGTTTAAGAATTCTAGAACCAGGTTTCTGGTCTTAGTAAATACTTTTATTTCCACAAACTAGAAAACTTTACAACTTTGCAGGATGGACAATGTTCAAATCAACCAACTTAGAGAGGGTCACTTTGCAAAATAAGAATCTAAAGGGATACTTTAAAACTTTAATTTAAAGGTACACTTCGAAAAAATAGAAGTAAAGCTTTTAAAAATGGGATCCGATTCTAAAGCTTTGTCTGGAGTCTTAATCGGTTAGTCTCACATTCAAAGTTAGAGTTCAAGTTTCTTAAAGCGAATTATTGATTTTTAAATTAAACTCAACTCTAAGAAAGATTTGAATCAACTTATCGCAAAGCTCTATCAAGTCCTGATAAATGAAATCAGTATTAAGTGATCCATTATTATCAAAACGGGGTCTGTATCTTTATAGAAAATTAAGATAATAATAAAAGAAGTATTATTATATTCATAACTGTGAGATGTTTCGTCCTAAACCACGAAAAATATAAAATCAAGACTTATTAAACTTAAGCAAATCACCAGAAGTGGCGGAGACACCAGACTTTCAAATCTTTGATAATCGTATATTGTAGGGACATAAGTTTTAACCAAACGGGCTTGGAGGCTGGAGGAGTTCGAATGAGGTCTAACAGCTGGGAGGCTACTGCCTGGGACATCGCATTTTTTAATTTTATTTTTTCCTGACTTGTTTATAAGAATTTTTATCCAGAAGCTTGGTGAGTTTATTTTTAGAGACTTTATCTGCATTCTTTCTACTCTAAATCTTCCTCTGGCACAATTCTTGTTTTTTCAATGATTAGGTAATTTAGTAAAATTCTCTCATTTTCTATAAAATATATTTGCACCAATTCTATTCTCTCATCCATTTTATATCTAGAGGTTGGTCACTTTTTATACAACAAACAGGAAAATTATATTTAACTATAATTTTAACTTTAATTGTTTCTCAATAGCTGTGAGCAGTTTGTCTTCGTCCATTATGAAACAATAAGAAACAAATTTCACGTCTTTTTTTCGTGGATTTTCAAAATTTAAATTTTTTAAATCCTGACCATCCATTAACCTTCCCTGAGCCGGTCATTTGAGTAAACAGGAAAAAATTGGTCCCGCACGATCGGTTCAGTCGTTTTGACGTTTATTCGTTATTAGTTTAAATATTCTAATATATTTTAATAATATTTTTATTAGATAAAAGTAATTTATTTATACAAAGGGACCCATCTTCAATTTTACTTTGACAATTTCTCTTTTTAAATTATCAACAAAAACAAAACAAAAAAGGTTTTACGTTTAGTGGATACAAAACATAGGATGTATGTAAAGTAAATCAAAATACAAGAAATTCAGAAAATTATAATGAAAACTGTTTAACATAACTGTATTATCCTAAAAGTAAAAAAATGATAAATAGATATTACGAAACTAAAGGAAACTTAATGTGTGTGATATTCTTTATAACTTGCATATATGTTAGTTTATTAAAGAAATCAAGTTTAATACTAGAAAAAGGGGAACAAAGCTGTAATAATAATGCATGAACTCGCTGGACCGATTTGCCTCAAATTATGATTGGGAACACGGTAGAACCACTGAACTGGTTTGAAAATTCTGAGTTGAACGGATTGACTTTTAAGAGAAAACTTAAGGCAAAGCTGGGTGTCCAAGCTAGTATGTAATGTATGTATATACATTTATATATAATGTAGATATGTCCATAAGCCAAGTAAACAAGTTAAAAAGCTTTAGATCACGCAAAACATTATAAATCATTTCATCACAAACATGAAATACACACAATACAGGGTGTACTACTGCTTTAAAAACACACAATACAAAGTGTACTACTGCTTGAAATATAAATAATACAGGATCTACTAAAGCTTCAAATACAAACAATACAGGGTGTATTAATGCTTGAAATACACACAATACAGAGTGTATTACTTCTTGTAATATAAACGATACGGGGTGTACTACTGCTTGAAATACACACAATACAGAGTGTATTACTTCTTGTAATATAAATAATACAGGGTATACTACTGCTTGAAATATAAACAGTACAGGGTGTACTACTGCTTGAAATATAAAAAGTACAGGGTGTACTACTGCTTGAAATATATAAACAATAAAGGGTGTACCACTGCTTGAAATACACACAGTACAGGTTGTACTGCTTGAAATACAAACAATACAGGTTGTACTACTTTTTGAAATACAAACAATACAGGGTGTACTTCTGCTTGAAATAAAAACAATAAAAGGTGTACTACTGCTTGAAATACAAACAATACAGGGTGTACTACTGCTTGAAATAAAAACAATAAAGGGTGTACAACTGCTTGAAATACACACCGTACAGGTTGTATTAATGATTGAAATACGAACAATACATGGTGTCTACTACTTGAAATACAAACAATACAGGTTTGCTGTTGCTTGAAATACAAGCAATAAAGGGTGTACTACTGCTTGAAATACACACAATATAGGGTGTATTAATGATTGAAATACGAACAATGCAGGGTGTCTACTTCTTGAAATATAAAAAATACCGGGTGTACTATTGCTTGAAATACAAACAATGCAGTGTGTACTACTGCTTGAAATACAAACAATACAGGGTGTACTACTGCTTGAAATATAAACAGTACAGGGCGTACTATATACTGCTTGAAATACAAACAATACAGGGTGTACTACTGCTTGAAATATAAACAATACATGGTGTATTACAGCTTGAAATACAAACAATACCGGGTGTGCTACTGCTTGAAATACGAAGAGTACATGGTGTACTACTGCTTGAAATACAAACAATACAAGGTGTACTACTGCTTTTCTAATTCCTATATCTTTGCAAACCAATGTCTTAGACATTAGATATTTTAAGCTATGAATTCTGTTTGATCAATAAATCTTAGTTTGAAATATCAAAAGTTACATTATCAGGTTGCAAAAATATAGGGATTAGAAAATTTAAGTTAAGTATGTGTCAAAGACTTTGTTCCTTAGTTAAAAACTCAAGAGAAAAAGAATTAATATTACCAATGTCAGTTAAATTTAATTTTCCAAAATTTGTCAACTCAGCTTTTTCACTTCGGGGGAGAAATTTAGGGTTTAATATGATTCCTTTTTGGGCTTTTTTGAAAAAAAAGATTTCTGATAAAATTGCAATTGCAATTAGATTTTTTAAAGATCTGATTTATTTCATTATCTACAAGACCTGTTGAAAGCTTTTTTAATGATAATAAGTTAGTTAAATATTGACTCAAGGGGAAGGCAGATCAGTCATAGTGATTTTTTAGGATTTAACCTGCTGGGTCACTGGTCACTATAATCAATGGTCAATGGTCACTGGTCACTGGTCACTGGTCACTGGTCACTGGTCCCTGGTCATTGGTCATTAGTCACTGGTCACTGATCACTGGTCAGTAACAAAGAGAAAGCGAGTAATTTTATAATTAATTACTAATATTTGAAGGTAATGTGAGTGTGTGGAACTTATTTTAGATGACCTCTAATTTGATAAAGTGGCATGTCCGATTCTCAACAGTACTTTTTAAACATTTCCCCGAGCAAGGATAACGTAGAAATCCTTGTTATTTCAGCTAAACATTGAATTACGAAAGCCTTAAGATTAAAGGGTACACTCAAAACTAGTATATACTAGGTGCACTACATTTCCATCTACAAAAATAAGAACGTCAGAAAAGGGTTTTTAAAAGGGTAAATTAGTAAATCAGAAATACATCTAATGGAGTGGCATTTTAAATTAAGTCTGCAGGTCCTTTCAAAGATGAATTTCTTTAGATCAACATGAATAAAAAAGATCAATTTCTCTAGATGAACATGAATAAAAAAGATTAATTTCTCTAGATAAACATGTATAAAAAAGATTAATTTCTCTAGATGAACATGAATAAAAAAAATTAATTTCTCTAGATGAACATGAATAAAAAAAGATTAATTTCTCTAGATGAACATGAATAAAAAGGATTAATTTCTCTAGATGAACATGAATAAAAAAAGATTAATTTCTCTAGATGAACATGAATAAAAAAAGATCAACCAGTTTTTGTAATCCTGATGCACAACTGACAGTGAATTTGCCAAAGGTAATAATTAGCAAGAGCAAACTTTTATCACTTTTCATAATATTAAATAAAACTTTTATCACTTTTCATAATATTAAATAAAACGTTTATCACTTTTCATAATATTAAATGAAACTTTTATCACTTCTTAAAATATTAAATAAAACTTTCTCTTGTCTGTTTGAATTTTATCAAAAGGTTCCATGATTTAGAGATCTGAAAGATATATAGATTTTTCAGAATATAAATTTGGGTAAAAATGTGTTATGTTAAGATCTTGTTTAATTAAAGTATAACGCAAACATATCTCTTACGTTTTCTTTTTCAGCTTTATGACAAAAATTTATTCCGTTTTTTGCAAAAACAAGAATGTCCAGAGCTATGTATCAAAATATATCTGATCAGCTGATTTAAAGTGCTCAAATCATATCTAAACCCCATTTATAAAAAACATTTCTTCTTTTCTAATTTTTTTTCTTCTAATTTAGAGATCACAATCCTTCCGATCTTGTTTAAAGAAAGAACCAACCCCAGATCAGGAATCAAGGTAATGATAATTTAAAATTAGAAAAACAGGATCTCTTTTCTTCAAAATTTCGAAATAAAAATTAGCCTATAAAAGATTTTTCAATATTCCCCCCCTTCTAANAGCATCGATCAAAAACAAAAATATTAATAAAATTTTAACAGAAACCTTAAAAGAACTTTAAATGATGAACTGAAATACTGAGTAAAAATATTTAAAAGGAGTTGAGTTTTTGCCACAAAATATAATTTGTTAATACCTATATCAAATTGGAACCCTATATCGTAGACCTTTTAGATATTTCAAACAACGAATTTTGTCGATCAAATAATCTAAGTTTGAAAAATCAAAAGTTTACACCATCAGTTTGCAAAGATATATGGATTAGAAAATTTGAGTTTGTGGCAAAGACTCAATTCCTTTAATACATTTTGTTCCAGACCGAGTTCCCGTAAAAATAGTGGGTCTAAGGCAGTAATGTTCAGGGGAAATATGAAAATATTTAAAAAGTTACTCTGATTTTACTCTAATACTTCTCGGATACTAAAACTATAGAAAAATGGTCAAGACAAATTTTACGAATGGTAATTTCTTATGATTTCTGCTACAGCTTCGTTCAGTGTAAATTTTAAATAATGTTTTATGCTTTTGTGATACCAATTCACGTAGGATGTATAAAGAATACCTTTTTTTGAAAGGTCATTAAACTTATTTAGAATTAATTACTATTTAAACTTCAAAATCAATGCAATTAATTTCTTCTGAGAGACACTAAATAATCGATCACAATATTTGTCGTTGAATATTTTCTGTTGAGTCAAGTGCACGTTAGGATATTTGATCAAATCTAAAGATGATGAGCTAAATCAATTTGTCTAAAGATGATGAGCTAAATCAATTTGTCTAAAGATGATGAGCTAAATCAATTTGTCTAAAGATGATGAGCTAAATCAATTTGTCTTTTATTCTCTGAAAAAATCTGCTTTAAAGAGACTGTTTAAGCGTAATGTCAAGTGAACCTCCATGCAACCTCCATGCTCGATTTATAGCAGTACCCTTTAGATCTTTATCTGATCAGTAATGTGGAAGTATGTTGTTTTTTAAAATTATAAACATTGACATCTAATTTATATTTGATCAGACAAAGGTTTCAAAGGTGACTTTGTAAATTGGGCATTGCCATCATAAATACGCTTACAAATCAATTTAAGAATGATATTTTTAACAAAACACATCTGCCTTTAAGGGAGTGACCGGCTTTGTAAGGTAGTTGAACTCAGTATCCAACCCCAAAGTTGGAGTTTTGAACGTCGAATTTGCGCTCAATCTTTAAAAAGTTTAATATGTCTCAAATGAATCCCAACGAAGTTTTCCACAACACTGCATACTCAGTTCAACTACCTTACATAGCCGGTCACTCCCCTAATATTATATAAATTCATAATTCATAAATTAGGAATCATTTACGGCATCATTTCTAAATTTTGACCGGCGCGGTGTCATTTATGGAGAGCCTAGTGTTTACACCATTTCAACACATATTTAGACAACAAAACCAATGTTTCGACACTTTTCGATATTTATTAATGTATTTTGATTGGACATTTGCATTAAAATTATCTGAGATTGTTTGATAATTTGAAAGTAGTACGACGTTTGGGAGACAATAATTTTTTTGTGCGTTTTGCCCCTTTTATAATAAAATTTAAATCTAAATGTAAACTTTTAAATGTTTTAATATGTTCTTTAATGTCTAACATTGCGTTGAAATGATTAACACACATATAGGGTGGGCTGGAGCGCTTTCTATGCAGTACACCAACCATAAACCTTTCCTAATAAGAAAAGAAAAAATATCCATATTTTACCCGATACAGTGATGAAATTGGAGAATCTTTAGTTATGGTGAACAAGTACGATGTAAGAGATCCATTGTGTGAAGGACAAGATAGGGTTGTTCATTTAGAACCTGATATATTTAAAGGTAAAAGATAGGGTTGTTCATTTAGAACCTGATATATTTAAAGGTAAAGGATAGGGTTGTTCATTTAGAACCTGATATATTTAAAGGTAAAGGATAGGGTTGTTCATTTAGAACCTGATATATTTAAGGTAAAGGATAGGGTTGTTCAATTAGAACCTTATATATTTAAAGGTAATGAATAGGGTTGTTCATTAAGAACCTGATATATTTAAAGGTAAAGAATAGGGTTGTTTATTTAGAACCTGATTTATTTAAAGGTAAAGGATAGGGTTGTTCATTTAGAACCTGATATATTTAAAGATAAAGGATGGGGTTATTTTATAAGAACTTGATAATTTAGATGAAATTCCGAGGGGTGTTCATTGGTCACTTTATTATCCTGTCAATTTTGAATATTTTATCTGTTGTAGATAAAACTAAATCTCCGTCCCCTAGACGAGAGTTTGTGGAGAATATCCGACCCTTCAGTAATCCCAGGTAAGGAAATGAAAAAAAGAGAGTTGAGTTGAACAAAAAGTAAGCTTAGTTTATGTATAATTTACATGTAGCAATTTTTACAGTATACCTACGTCCACAGACAGGCTACAGCAGGAAAAACGGGATAATACACGGAGAAAACCATATTTTTCTATAAAGATTCATGTGTAAGCGTAACGTTTTCCAAAGAATCCAACGTGGCAAAGATAGTACCAAACTCAGTGTAGAACGAATTGAGGGATAAACTACTTATTCTAAGTTATCTACACTGTACTTTCATCATCCCAAAACTGGAATGCCTCGTAAGGACCCCTTATTTAAAAAGGCAGTTTAGCTTAATTTCTCCCTCTAATAGAAAGTTGAGTCCAAACCTCCTTTTTATACTTCTCTTATGACTCATTTACTCTGCTTTGAAGCAGAATATAATCCCTCAGAGAGCTTGATTTCTCCCTCTAATAGGAAGTTGAGTCCAAACCTCCTTGTTATACTTCTCTTATGACGCATTTACTCTGCTTTTAAGTAGAATATAATCCCTCAGATCGAGCTTGATTTCTCCCTCTCATAGGAAGTTGAGTCCAAACCTCTTTGGTATACTTCTCTTATGACGCATTTACTCTGCTTTGAAGCAGATTATAATCCCTCAGAGAGCTTGATTTCTCCCTCTAATAGGAGTTGAGCCCAAACCTCTTTGTTATACTTATCTTATGACGCATTTACTCTGCTTTGAAGCAGATTATAATCCCTCAGAGAGCTTGATTTCTCCCTCTAATAGGAAGTTGAGTCCAAACCTCCTTGTTTTACTTCTCTTATGGCGCATTTACTCTGCTTTTAAGTAGAATATCATCCCTCAAAGAGGAAGGAAAAGTCTAGTCCTAAGAAAGCGAGGTCATTTCCATCCAGAGTTCCTTAAATAGGAAGTTGTCGAAAAACGGCCCTGGTACCTTATATATATATAGGAATGATAAATGTTTCAAAACAGAGTAATTGCGTCATAAGAGAAGTATAACAAGGAGGTTTGGGCTAAACTTCATATTTTAGGGAAAAATCAAATCAGGAGTAATTACGAGGCATTCCAGTTTTGGGACGAAATACAGTGAAGGGTACAAAATAGTCCCAAAACTCGGCTTAAGACGACTTCTTGTGTGATAATGTTTGATTGGAGTGATAACCCACCTATCCTATGTTATCCTGTAACAAATACAGAGGTTTATAGTAAATCTAGATAATTATGTTGTACATTGTCCAATTTGCCCATTGGTAAATACATATTAAGTGCTTGTGTTCGTGTAGACATTGATAGCTGATCGCGCCCATTGATCGATCACGAGCTCGTGTCCTGGTTGTCATTTATAGCTGACGAGATTGTGTCCAAGTTTAGACATTGATAGCTAAGTGAAACTGAATTGTACCTGGATAGATACGGGTTGGAGATCCAATTAGGGAGTGGGGCATTTACTACAATCCAAGGGTAAAAAATAATCTCAAAACTCAACTTAAGACGACTTCTTGTGTTATAAGTTTGATTTGAGAAATAACTCACCTATATCCTATGTTATCGAAAGGTAAAAAAATAGTCCAACAATTGTGGCGGAAGACGACCTCTTTTGTCAGAATGTTTAGTTTTAGGTATAAACCGTCTATCCAATGCTATACTGGCAAGGATAGTTACAAAAATTGCCAGGAGACGACCTCTTGTCACCTTCTGTTTAATTTCAGTTAAAACTTTTTATTTAAATTACATCGCTCTAAACATTGCAATATGCAACAAACGTGTAACCAAATGATCAAATTTTAAAGTTCTAAATAAATAAATATTATAAAGGATGGCCAATTCTCATAATTCTGAATAAATAAATATTATAAAGTATGGTCAATTCTCAAATTTCTGAATAGATATATATTATTCAGGATGACCAAATCTCAAAGTCCTGAATAAATATATGTTATACAGAGTGACAAATTCTCAAATTTTTTAATAAATATTTATTATACAGGGTTACAAAATCCTTAAGTTCTAAATAAATAATTATTATACAGAGTGACTAATTCTCAAAGTTCTGAATAAAAAAAAATACTATACAGAGTGACCAATTCTCAAAGTTCTAAATAAATATATGTTACACAGGGTGACTAATTCTTAGAGTTTTAAATAAATTTATGTTATACAGGGTGACCAAATCTCAAAGTTTCAATACGGGTGTGCTTCGGCCTAGAATGATCCGTTGCAATCCTCCTCCAAATTCTCCCCACGCATCAAGGTAAATAAAAAGTATAAAAATTACGATTTTTAAAATGTTGATTATTTTTCCTTAGTCCCTGCCTTTCTCCTACTTTAAGAAGAGCAGATATGGTCCCAAATATAACATTAACTCTGCCCTTAGACGATATGCTTTCAGATATTGAAGGTAGGTATTAGAAAATATTTGAAATTAAAATTAAATATTTTCTAAAAACATTTTTTTAAGATAACGTAGATGAGGAGTCAGAAAATATGGAGAGTCAAGGTTAGAATAATACTTTACCGACATCCTTGTCAACATATTAAACTGTTATCAGGAAAAAATAATCATTTTTTTCAATTTTTGTCTAAATAATTTTGTTTACACAATTGTAAATTAAAATAGATATGATACGGACAATTTACCTACTGTTTTAGTTTCGTGTTTTATCAATCACAGCTGAAAACTTTTGAATGAATGGAACTGTTTTAAGTCGATTCTAAGAGTTAAAGGTATTCTCTCTCTGCGGAGAGTTCAACTCTAATCCGAAGGATTAGTTAATCTGCTGTCTTAATCTAAAGGGGTAAACTACTAAAGTTTAAATATCAAGCTTATCCTCATTTAAAAGTTTTAACCTTAACAAAATTAGATTGAACAATGAAGATTGAAATTTTCAAAGAATAAATTTACATGTTTTGTCATATTTTAGAAAAATGTGAAATAAAAAGACGACGTTTAGGTACTTGATATTGTTTTAAATTCGATAGTTGTACTATTAACTTGAAAAAGGTCTTTTCTTCCTATTTAATCAATGATCTGTTTCTATGTTAATTCTGCGCGTGATATAGCCTAAAAGTTTTATAATCTTGCATTACAGGAATGTAGACTCAGCCGCTACTATTTGTGGAAAGTCGCCAACATTTTATTGAAAACTTGAAGTGAAATATTTAACGCATAATTAAGTTTATGCTTGATTGATACAAATTTGTGAAAATGACAAGATGAACTTCAGTTTAATTAGTTTTTTTATTCAGATGAACCGTCGAATCTAGTTAAACTCCAAAATTGTGACTACGTGGTAAAAACCGTAAGTATTCACTATAAATATATCAAAATAACTAAAAAAAATGAAAATGATATGTCAACCTTTAAAACAACTTTGCTGATCACAAAAAAGTTTGAATATATATCTATGCATCATAAAAACAATTAGATAAAGATATGATTGCTAAGGCTTCAGATAAAGATTTCTTGATTCATTGCTAATTTTTAAAGCTGACACTTAAAATGAAGATTTCGTTTGCTGAGGCTCCAGAATCCAGATATAGATATCATTACTCAAGCAGAAGCTTACGATAAAGATATCATTGGCAGGGGCGTATTCAGGAATGTGTCCAGTGGGGGCTTTTTTCTTTCAAGGGGGAGGGCTCAGCACCTGTTGGGACCTGAAAACCCCCTAACCTCCATAGCCCTTCCTGAATACGCCTCTGATCATTGGTCAAGCAGAAGCTTACTATAAAGATAATATTGGTCAAGCAGAAGCTTACTATAAAGTTATCATTGGTCAAGCAGATGCTTACTTTAAAGATAATATTGGTCAAGCAGATGCTTACTTTAAAGATAATATCGGTCAAGCAGATGCTTACTTTAAAGATATAATTGGTCAACCAGAAGCCTACTATAAAGATATCATTGGTCAACCAGAAGCCTAATATAAAGATATCATTAGTCAGCCAGAACCCTAATATAAAAATATCATTGGTCAAGCAGAAGCTTACTATAAAGATAATATTGGTCAAGCAGAAGCTTACTATAAAGTTATCATTGGGCAAGCAGATGCTTACTTTAAAGATATCATTGGTCAACCAGAAGCCTACTATAAAGATATCATTGGTCAACCAGAAGCCTACTATAAAAATATCATTGGTCAAGCAGAAGCTTTTTATAAAGACAATATTGGTCAAGCAGAAGCTTAATATAAAGTTATCATTGGTCAAGCAGAAGCTTAGTATAAGTTATCATTGGTCAACCAGAAGCTTACTATAAAGATAATATTGGTCAAGCAGAAGCTTACTATAAAGTTATCATTGGTCAAGCAGAAGCTTACTTTAAAGATATCATTGGTCAACCAGAAGCTTACTATAAAGTTATCATTGATCAAGCAGAAGCTTACTTTAAAGATATCATTTGTCAACCAGAAGCCAAATATAAAAATATCATTGGTCAAGCAGATACTTACTTTAAAGATATCATTGGTCAACCAGAAGCTTACTATAAAGTTATCATTGATCAAGCAGAAGCTTACTTTAAAGATATCATTGGTCAACCAGAAGCCAAATATAAAAATATCATTGATCAAGCAGAAACTTACTTTAAAGATATCATTACTCGAGCAGAAGCTTAATATAAAAATTTCATTGCTGAACCTTCCAATAAAGATATCATTGACGAACCTTCCAAAAAAGATACAATTGATGACCCTTTAGAAACAAATTTCATTGCTAAATATTTAAATAAAGATATTCTTGCTGATGAGGCACTAACTACTTTTTAAAATATTTTTGTTTCCAGAAAAGACAACTTGTTGCTGAAAGAAGGATTGGAGGACTACAACTTATTGAATCTATGACTGAAAGCATTATGCAGGAAAGTATTAAAACCAATCTGTGTTGTAAAGTTTAAAATAACTTTATGGAACATTGTATTTCATTATTACTTTGGTCGCTAATGGTAAACTTTATTGTGCCAAAAGGTTCTCATCTTTGTAAAAAAGCTTGAATCTTCTCTATAAATTGAAAATTGACTTTACAAGTAATATGCATGTGAGCCACAGTAATAGTGTTATTTTAAAAATTATTTTGTAGGATTCCTTGGTTCAAGCAAAGAAGCTTGAGAATAAAAATAAAGAGTTGGAATGCCTAGCAGACAACTATGCATCAAAGCACCCGGAGCATGTATCTAACAAACCGTCTGAGCACGGGATGGAGTCTTATATTGAAGAATCAAATGCTGAATCTAACATCAATAAGTGTGATACAACTGCTGAATTATCAGTGCACAAGAAAACTGATCAACTAGCATCGGTATCATCTAGTTTACCCGTAATGTTGGAGAAATCAACAAATGCTGAAATTAACAATAAAGACTTGACTAAGACTAAGGACAATGATCATGATGACCTTCCGTCTGCCGATACATTGATTCAATTTGATATTGATCAAAATATGTTGTCAGGTGAAGAAATTAGAATCAAGCAGAATTCAGATTCAGAAGTTTCTATTGATGATATTAAAGTGAAATCTAGCCGGGGTTCCCCTATATTTCTACCATCTTTGCATAGGGCTGCCCCGCCTCCTCCTAGAACTGCCCCGCCTCCTCTACCCTCTGTCTAGTAAATTCAAAATAATGTTAAATTTTAATTTTCATTAAAACCAAATTAATCAAAATAACGCTGATCGAAATGTGTCCAGAAAATGATGATGCATCAGTTTTGATGCTATTAAAATCGTTGAAACATTACTTTTTAAACACATTTATTTACACTCTATGTTAATAAACTTCGTTATTTTCGTAAAGTAAATATAAAATAAAACGTTAAATTTTGGTCAATTCGAAAAATTGCAAAATTTTTGTAAAAATGGTGTAAAATTTCAGGTATTGTAAACTTAATTTAAACACTAAACATGTAAGTAAAATAAGTTAATATATTCATTTTTGAATATTGTATATTAATAATTTTTTTTCTAGAATATATATAGACCATCCCCCCCCCATACACTGTTTTCCAGAAAATTTTAAAAGCTTTGTCGAGTTTTTTTTTGAGAAAATCTTAGTCAAACTTTTTGTTACTTGAAAAAGGTGTTTGACTTTAGAGATTTGAACAGAATTAAAAAAAAGAACAGTTTGTTAAATTGATACTGCAGTTACTGAGCAAAACTCACTCCGTGCTAGCTTCAAGACTGAGTTTATTTATATATTCCTCCAACACTGTAGTACTACTATTTAGGAATATATTTATATAGTGATAACCAGGAAACTCTGGAAAAGGAAAACGACTTTTAGACTCAAGCTCTTACTTAAAATAGTCCAATAAACATGAGGCCCTGCAGTAATTAGCAGTGTAAACAGACCCATTTCACTTTATAAGTGATTATAAAACTTAGTAATAAAGCTATTTTCTTAGTAACAACATCAATCGTACTTCAGTATTGCTTTAATATGTCGTCATCATATTCAGCAGTTTTCTGGTTCACACTGTTTATGTATGTATATATAAGGGGGTTCCTTGTGTATATTTATTGTTTTTTTTATCTATTAAGCAACTAAACTTTAAATGCCTTTAAAAAAAGAATATATATTTAATAAAATAATGATTAAAATTTTTTTTCGAAAGCTCTTGATCATGCATGGAGCTTGAAGTATTTATCAATCTTTTTATTTAATTTTTAATTGTGAATAATTTCTGATTTTTATATTTTTTAGAAATATCATATACAGGGTTAACCACAAAGGATGAGACTTCAGAGACGACTTTAAGAAATTTATACTGTCTAGTGTCTGTTGCTTTTCATTTCTGATTCCCTGCAACCATAAACTCGTTTCTCTCTTTGCCAGTTTTGAGAACAGTTGAGGAGTCAACACCTCTCTCTGGAGGAAAGCATGCAAAATGTTTGCTAATTATTAGAGGACTAGGGCCGAATCCCTTATAGAACTTGTAGGTTCGAGAGGAAACCTTTTAGGTTCCCGTTTGATAAATGTGGATGTCAAATCCACTAGAAACATCGAGAAAGGGTTTACTCCCTTTGATTATTGTGGATGTCAAGTCTACTAGACAAATAGAGAATGGGTCTACTCCCTTTGATTACTTTTTAAGTGCAAGGAATTTATTCCTGAAAGAAAAATATCATCAAAAGTCTGACTATAGATTTCTTTAAAATAGCAGGTTTATGAAATTGGAGAATATGAGAGTGAATAATGAATACATTTAATATCATTTCTAACAAAACAAATTTAAACTATACCGTTAATATATGTAATATGTAATATATGTATGTATATTAAATGTGTGTGAATAAATCTTTAATAATAATAATAAAATCCTTAAATCAAGGATTTAATGTAAGGAAAGTTATTTCAGAAGTGTACACATCTTTTGTACTGCAGTGTACTCTCTCTGGGCGCTAATGTAAACACAAGACAGATATCGAAGCCTGACATGGGATCCATCTTTCACATAAAAAAATCAATGAAATATTCTGGTCATATAGGAAACTTTTATGTGAATTATTAAAATTATCAAAATTTAATGCTTTTAACCTCCTCGGATACTAAACGAACACTGATGCATCTATTCTTGTTTACAAATTCCGCCCAAAGAGAACTGGTTTCAGTATGCACGTAGAGTATACGCAACAGCAATTAACTCTCCTTGCATTACAGCCTTGCATTAAATAAGCCATTTAAAGGGCATGGAAGACATAAATTTACTTTGAAATTGTCACATTTTAAGAATTTCAAGTCATCTTTAAAGTCTCATTTTTTGTGGGTAACCCTGGATAGCAAAAAAAATCGAACTTTAATGAGATAGAGACGGACAGTGCAGCTGGGCGTTTTTGTAAAATACAAAATGATGAAATACAAAATCGATGAATTGAGATTAGAAATAAGTCATTAAAGATGAAAATCAACACAAAGATAAAACTGTGGCTATTAAGTCGAAAGGTTGATTTCAGAAGTGGATTTTTCAATTAACTTTAAAAAATCAAACTTATCACTATAAAATAATCACAAGAAAAAATCCAATTAAATCTATTTTTTATATCACAGTTCTCTACATTTCATTCTATGATGCCCCCCCCCCCCCCCACAAAAGAATCCAGTTATAATCCACTCTCAAATACTTTTCTATTGATTTTTCTCCTTTATACGATGATTTGTGCAGATTTACAGAAGTTTAAATATCGTCTTCAACGGACGCTCTTACGATTAAATAATTATTCTTAAACAGGAGTATCCTTTATAACATATAACACTGTCATCAAAAGTAGTTATTACTTTAAAATGGAGGAACGCCCCAATCTCATAAAAATGGGGGGGGGGGGTAATGGTCCCCTCTGTAGTACGTGGGATACGACATAGTAGCTGCAATTAATTTGAATTTCTGTGTTGCTAATTTAAGGATATACCAGATATCCAAGTTTGATGCGTAAATATTGAAAACTCAAAAAATTGAATATACAGGTTTACCCAGAAAGGATGACACTGAAAAGACGACCAGAAAATTACTTAAACATGACTATATAAGAAGACGACTTTTCGACTCAAGTTATGACCTTAAATAGTCTAGTGGTCGTTAAACACAACAATTGTGCTGTGTAAACAGACCAAATTCACTTAATAAGTGGATTTGTAAGTTACAAATGCTACTGTTTTTATTTATTTATTTTGCTTTTAATGTCGTCTTCCTATTTAAATTTTTTGGTTCTCACTGCAGTAGTAGATGATTAAATAGTTGATAATTAGATAATGCTGTGATGGCTCAAGATTAATTTAAAAAGGGTTGATACACTTTTTCATTGACGTCAGCTGCAAGCCAGCAATACTTGAAACTATAATCTTACTTTTTAACATCAATTATAATTGATTTAAGACAGAGGTCTACACTCTACAGAGTAATAGCAGTATGCTAAAAATTACAATATGGCGGATGAAAAAACCAGATTTAACCGGTTTCAAATCTTATGATTATAGATGTAAAGGTTGAGCGGCAAATGTGGCCTAAGATTTTGTGTTGTGTAATGGTAAATAACTAGAATATGTCTAAAAATGTTCAATACCCTTAGCGACATGACATGACATTTTATAATGAAAAAAGGAAGACGATTTTCAGTCGTCTCTTAATTATTATGTTTAGTTATAAAGGGAGTGACCGGCTAGACACGGTAGTTCAGCTGAGAATGCAGTATTGTAGAGACATTTCATAGGGTTCATTTGAGACCTAATGACAGTTTTACGGTTTATACTTGTTCAGCAACAGCGCAAATTCAATCTTTTAAATCCTTATGATCGTCCATTTTGGAAGGATAATTTTGATAATCGGTTTAACATTTTTTTTCAATAATGACGACGAAAAATGTAACACATATCTACAGTAAACTAACAAGTTGTTTGAGAGCAGGTTCACAATATAAAAATTCACTCTTATAACTGACAACAAGTAATCTTATTTATGTTTTGTTTTCTGTAATGCCTTATTGTTCACAAACATTTCTCGTAGATTTTCCAGAATTTTATTGAAAAGACAACATTGGAAAAATTTCAAGAAATCAGCTGAAGAATAAAAAATAAGAAATTCAATGCAATGATGATGAAGAAATGATTGATTATAACATTGATTTATTGAGAAATTTCTTTTGAGAAATATGTCCCTAAACATCTAACTAGTTCACTGTAGAACTTTTGTTATATTTCTCGTCGTCTTTATTGGACAGTTTTTAAAACTGATTATCAATATCATCCTCATAAAATGGACGATCCATAAGGATATTAAAGATTGAATACGTACGTCACTGGCACCATGGGCGTACGAGGGAGGGGGCCGAGCCCCCGGCCCCCCCCAACGTGTGCAACCCCTGAGGGGGGCATTCATGGGGGTGGCTCTTTTAATATTACAACTGCTTGTATTTCCCTTCCTCAGGCAATCTACATTCTACATTGCATTGTATATACACTCATCCAAACTAAAAGATTATGAAAAGAAATAAAATATATTCTGATTCACAACAATAAAATCATTCAAAGCTTTGTCTGATCAAGTATTGCATTAAAAATCCATGTTTCCCATTTTGAAAACTGATATTTTTATTTATGGGTTCTCTACAAAAGTGACTCGTGCATTTCTTGCTTCAGAAACGATGGAGAAATGAAGGTTTCAAAGGTACATCGGACATGCCACTCTATAAATGGAGGGTAAATTAAAATTACGCATTTATTCCATTAAAGTTTAATTAGATCGTATAGAAAAAATGCTTTAAAATCTCACTTTTGCCCTTAACTAAAAAAGTTTCATTAAAAAAGCTTTAATCAATACTGCCTTCAGTATAAGTATATATCTGATATCATAATTTATAAAACAATATGTATCAATCCTATGAAAATATAACTTTTCCATCTCTATTTTTCATCCTTGAAGCTTACAGCACATGGTATTAAAAGGGATTATCTGTCCACTTAAGAAAATTACAGAAATAATTTATTAAGACTTGTAATATGGCAGTGTGTATATGATCGAATAGATTACATAGTTAAAAAAGGTATCAATATTTTTTCAAAAAAGGGGTTTTTAAGGGGGGCCTGCTTATAAATAGTCTAATCAATTTTTAAGACAGGATTGACTGTGAAGTGTGGCAACGCCTTGAGTTTAGATTTTACCGCACTAACTCACCAAAGCTTTTCTGTAGCCCTTCACATGTACATTTTAGCACTGTAAAGTACTTGTTGTTAGCTTTGGTATTAGATAAGTAATTGGCAAAATTCTCATAGATTTAGCTTGAGAGCATGAGACCTTTAAATCCCAGTAAGTCACAAATGAATCCTAAAATTGTTTCTACAATACTGCATTCTCAGCTCAACTACAATGTCTAGCCGGTCACTCCCTTTAACTCTAGTTAAAGAGTTTGACGTCGTTACTTAAGTCTCATTTGCCTGTAACCTTTAGGCTCAATGTTTTAAGTTGAACCCAGAGGGCAAAACTTAAAAGAAATTTACCGGGTATCCCAAACCAAACCTGGCCACGAAACCGGGTTAGCTCTCTTAAGTCTGGGTTTGAGTTTAAAACCCGAACTCTGCCAAACCCGGGTTTCAGGAAACCGGGTCTCGTAGCGAGTTTTATAATTTTCTTAAGTTCTCAGTTTGCTGTACTGTACACTTACAACTGTTTACTAATAATGATATACTATAGGTTAGGCTGAATCTCCTTATAATAAACAAATATGCAGTACGCTATCGGTTTAGTTTATGGCCTATACAATTAGTAACGGATTAGCGTACATCATCACTCTATGCACTATAACCTCTTTGGTTGAACCCCTAAGAGTCTAACCTTTCCCCGGTTGTTTTGGATTGAAAAATATATTTCTTCCAGCAACCTTTTTTTGTATCATATTTATAATCATGAATTTTAAGTCGCATAATTTTAGAAATTAAAAACAACTAATTTTTAGTACAGAATAGAAGTTATAAACAATTCTCCAATCACATTATTTATTAATTTTGTGAAGGATATTTTGGGAGGAGTCGCCTGTTGATCTAATTGGGAACCGGAAAGAATGAGCAGGTGCCCAGCTTACCCCCCTCGACCATTATCTAACTTTAGACAACCCCCCACGTATTACCCCTATATGTTAACCAACGGTAACTCAACCGTGAAACAAAACTTAAACCAGACTATAGTGTTATTTTTATTTTGAACAATTTCTGAAAATTCTTGAATTATTTCAAACCTTAATTTCGGGGTTTTGGATGCGCAGGAGCATTAATATTTATATTCCAGGAAATGTATTTAGGTCACCAAATATACCTTCGATTGTTAAGCTTCAATAAACCGTAGATTTAAGACGTTAGACCCGTGTCCGTTGCAACTCTTGAAAGATTGAACTATGAAAAATTTTGTAAGTTTGTAATTGATTATTTAATATTTGCATTTTGCAATTTGTAATTTTGACAACATAGTTTTTGACAAGAAAAAACATCAAAGAATTTATTTAAAATGTTCTAGCTAGATAATAATGCAACAAACAAATCGACTTTAGAATTATTTTTTCTTGTTTCCTCCTTGACTTTTCCGTTCCCTCCGTTCCCTTCCTCTCATTTCCTCATACCGTTTCCTCTCCCCCTTCACGTTTCTCTTTCTTCTCCAATCTCAATGTTTGTCCTATCTCGCCTCCTGCTACCCCTTTTCCTTTACTCTCCCCCTTTCTTACTCTCTTCTTCTTCCAACCCCCCAACCCCCATTTCCACCCCTTGTCTTCCCATTGCTCCCCTTGCCTTCCCTCCTTTCCCTCTCCCTTCATGAAATCTTTTTCCTATTTTAACTTTTTCAATTTGTTTACCGTTAGCGGAAATGCATTTTCCAATATTCAAACATTTATTTGCAACATTGCAAACATTTTTATCTATTATTCGCAAACTTATTTGCAAATATCCAGTACAAAATAAACAATATGACACAGAGTAATCAAAGATAAGAACATTTGAACAAATTTTAAAATATAATAGCGAAAAAAACACCAACTATTGAAAAAGATGGATCACTTTCGATCTAAAGGTTCATCATCTTAGGTATATGTTTTTCAAAAAAAAATTTATGGACGGTATACAGTGCAGTGTGCAAGCTTTCTGAAACTGTTTTGGCAGAAAATAAGGAATAAAAGGAAAAAAACACGTAAAACCTATATAAACACAACATTTTAATTTTTAGTCAATTCATTTGAGAATTTTTAGATGCAATACATTTTAGATGCAATACATTTTAGATGCCATACATTTTAGATGCAATACATTTTAGATGCAATACATTTTAGATGCAATACATTTTAGATGCAATACATTTTAGATACAATACATTTGAGATACAATACATTTGAGATGCAATACATTTTAGATGCAATACATTTTTATTGAATTGAGAAGAAAATTTAGATTAAACTAATGCGCTGGTTGCCCTGTCATCTGTGCAAGTTTTAAAAGGCGAAAGTAAAATTATATTTTAGATAATATTTGCAAACATTTCAAAATAATTGCAAGGTTCAAAAATTTCGATATTAACATTTTACATTTTATTCAAGATCTTAATTTCCTCGAAGCCTTGTTGTGGCTTTTTGTCAAATGGAGGTTATCTATTCATACAAAGTAACGTTTTTTGTGAGTGCGCGGGGGGGGCTTTTTTACATCTTCTTTTCCTTTTGAAAAATTGGAAATCTAATTTGTGTTAATTTGTCTCATTTGAACATCATTATTCTTTTCTTAAAGGGAGTGACCGGCTATGTAAGGTAGTTGAACTGAGTATGAAGTGTTGTGGAAAGCTTTTTTAGGATTCATTTGAGACATATTAAACGTTTTAAAGATCTGAGCATGAGTGCAAATTCGATGTTCAAAACTTCTACTTTGGGGGGATACTCTTTCAGAATTAGTTTTATTTTAAATTATTAAATAACATTGACATAAAATGTAAAAAAAGTTCTACAATAAATGTATAGGAACATGTTGAGAAAATAAAAATTAATCTTATCATCGAAAATAAGTAATCTTGTTCAATTATTAGTTTCTATTATATCTCATTATTCTGGTTTCACATTATTCACAAAGACTTTCGCAGATTTTTTAGAATTTTTATTGAAAAGATTACATTTTAAGAATTTGAAGAAATCTGCGAATAAATTCAAAGAAAATTAGAAATTCAATATAATAATGAAAACAAAATAATCGATTTGAGCGTTGATTTATTGACAAATTTATTTTGAGAAATTAGATGGTCCCTAACCATCTAATTAGACTACTGTATAATTTTTACTTTATTTTTCGTTGTCGTTATTTAATAATTAAAAAAACTAATTCTTGATTCCTGGTAAATATGAAAATATCGTCTTCATTATCAAATATCCTCGAAACAGGAATACATGTTTTCAAAAGTAACTCTGAGATCATGAAAAATACAAAATAGTATGAAATATTAACTATTTACGAATGCGTCGAAAAATAATCGGTGACTTTTTTTGTAATATCTGAATGATTTGTTTTGAATTAAATTGATTTGTTTACGATCCGAGTTGAATGTTGCATCTTTCTGAATTTGTATGGACACTACGTTCTTCGGTATTAGTCGTTTTTAACAATTTTCTCCTTAAAGAAGCAACAGAAGTAAGATTAGTAGAGATCAAAAGCGCTTTTTTATCGCATTAAGCCTATACCCCCTTTTATTTTTCGCGAACATTCCCTTTAAACAAACATAATCTAATTTTAATATTTACACTTGATCATCTCAACAAATATATTCATAACTAGGGTTGTTAACGTTTTCATTTTTCAGAAAAACGATCGTTTCGTTATGAAAACGACGACTAAAAATCGAAAACGAAACATTCGTTTTTGAAAACGATCGTTTTTTTTAAAAAGTTCGTTTTTTAAAAATGATCGTTTTTAAAACGATAGTTTTTCAAAACGATTGTTTTTCAAAACGATCGGTTTTCAAAACGATCGTTTTTATAAAATTTGTCGTTTCGTTAACGATCTTTAACGACGACCCTTCGTTAACGATCTGAACGACAACCCTTCGTTAACGATCGTTAACGACGATCCCTTCGTTAACGAAGAGAGGAAACCGACCTGAAGGGCATTTGTACTTATCATTGAGTAGTTTTAAAGAAAATATCAAGGAGTTTTAACTCCCCCACAACTGTGAAACTTCATGTAAGACGACATTCAATAAAGTTACATGTAATTTTTTTCCAAAAATGACCGTTTTGATAAAGTTCGTCGTTTCGTTAACGATCGTTAACGACGACCCTTCATTAACGATCGTTAACGACGACCCTTCGTTTACGATCGTTAACATAATTGTCAATAAATTTGTTTTTAAAAAACAATCAGATAAAAAACGGTCGCAAATCGTTTTAATACAAACGATCGTTTTCAAAAACGATCGATATTCGTTTTCTAAAAGTTCAAAACGAGTGGGTCGTTTTTAAAAACGATAGTTTTTTTCCGAAAACGAAACGATCGTTTTTGAAAACGAAAAAAAAACTATCGTTTTTGAAAACGAAAAAAAAACGTTCGTTTAACGATCGTTTAACGATCATTTACAAAAACGATTAACAACCCTATTCATGACACTTTTCCTAAGTTCATAACGATTATTACACATCACTGAATACTAAAATTTAATCTGAAGATGAGGAAATATTTTTCTTTTGCTGATATAATGATATTGTTAATTTTAAAATTCAGTGATGGTGATGGACCAAACCTCTGTAGAGTAAAAAAGTAGATGTTAGTTCCACATTTATTGAAAATATATTTCGGTCTGGGTTGACCCTCGTCAGTTCTTGAGATTGTTTCTTCACAAAGATTAAAGTTTCAACCTAAAAAATTGTGCATGTTTATAATTCCATAATAAAGTTTATACCACAAAAGCGTACATACACTAATTAAGTATTTTAAACTCTATATTTTAATATATATAAAAAAGTAGATTTATAAACACACATATATATCTTATTTACCTCCCCCCTGTATTATACCCCTGTAGCCCGAAACACACGTTAATATCTCCAGGGGCAGGTACCTCCCCCCCACCCTCTGCAGTTTACTCTAGTCCCGTCCTAACCCCACTAAGTCCTCAGGTGAGCTGACGCGCATGCGCAATCATTATTTTCCAAAGCTTTGAAACTTGTGGCGGTTACGTTAGTTTCGATTCAGCTCTCAGGCTTTCAACCCCTCGTTGCGAGCGTTAAAATTTCTTTAACGTTACGTTAAACGTAATGTTATAAACGCAATCTTGGTGATATATTAATATATTAAAAATGAGTGATATTATCCGAATTAACGGTTGGGTTCGCAAACTAACTGGAACCGGTACAGTTTATTATGTAAAGAGAAAGACTGGAGAGACAAGGTAAAAATAATAAAAAGTAAATAATTAGGTCTAACTTTTAAACTATGGAGTCTTTCATTGTAAGATTAAAAGAAATTAGCAGGGTTTAAATTAAATAACCAATGTTTAAGATGAAACACGGATAGATTATAACTTCATAATTTGCTGTTCTTTATGACCCTCTAAGTTCTGAAAATCGTTAAAAATATTTCTCTTCTTTTTCTAGCCTTTTTACTACATACACGTGCATGAGGGTGTACGTACTTGAAAAACCATTAAAATCGCGGATTTCCGCTTTTGCGTAGCAAAGTTTCTGGTTGTAAAGTGTGCAAGTTGGTTTGCAAATATTAATATGGTTTGCAGATTTTAAACTAACCACCAAGGTTCAGAAGACGAGTTTCCTTGCACTAACAAATAATAGTTTTCTAAAAAGAAAAATTGTCTTTATTTAACAATTTTTACATCTATATTATTTTTCAAAACGATTTAAGATTTTAACAAGGAATTCTTTTATATTGAGTTTTTGATAAATATCCTGAGATTTGATATAAAAAATTCGACACAGTTTTATTTCGTTTATTATATTAGTAAATAAAAAAATTAACCTATATATGATTGATTCTAGATGAAATATTACTAAGAAGTTTAGGTTTAATGAAAGAGATGTTATTATACATTTCAAGATTCTATTGAATATATGACAGATTTCACATCGTATATGAATAAATATTTATATACTCTATAGAATAAATTCTAATAAATTGTATAGACTACAATACACGTATTGTATAGACTACAATTCATGTATTGTATACTTTTATCTTTGATAAATAATGAAATCAAAATAGGATGGCCCAAAAAGTTGCTAATAAATGGAAAGTTAGAATTCTAAGTGTTATAGTATATATCATACATCATAAGACTGTTTTATGCTGTTAACACTTTTCTACCGCAACTTAATTTATATACAGTCAAAAATCTCTGGATAAGTCGTCAATACTTCATTGTCTTAAAAAGGAATCAGAGCTGGGAACTTTAGAATGGATAACCTTTAATCCCAACTGCTTAATCTTAATATCCACTGTGGAAACTTTAAATTTTAGTCCGTAATCAACTCTTTTCTCTCTCTTTCAATATCCGTACATTTTTTTCTCTCGAAAGAGTGTAGGAATATAGTTCGTAAATTGTATTGACCATTGACAGCCTTGAAAATAAATTCTATCGAATGAGAGACCTCCGCAATTTCTAACAAATAAAGAATTTGTTGTCTGCCATTTTGTAAATTAATCGGTAAAGAAAAATATGTAAAAATATATAATACGTTCAAGAAAACGAACAAATCTGGCGTTCCTAGAATCAAATTTGTTGAACTAAATGATTAATCTCGAGACTAACATAATCTCGAGATTATGTTAGTCTCGAGATTAGCAAAAAGAGAGGATTAAGCATTAATCTCGATATCTACCATTCTAAAGTTCCTAGCTCTGCTGAATGTATTTTTGTGTGCTAGAAATTATAACTTTTTTCCGAATCATTTTTGATTGTGATTTGTGACTTTATTATATGTAAGTGCCAAAGTTAGCGTCTAAATTGTATTTAATGAAACACTCTGTATCTAACACCCTTCATGAAACACTCTGTATCTAACACCCTTTATGAAACACTCTGTATCTAACACCCTTCATGAAACACCCTGTAAGAATATCTTGAATAGTTAAATTGTGACAGTTCATCTTCCTTTGCCCCAAACCTTTGTTCTAAATGCAATCTTCAGATCAATACCCCCCCTTCATATCCACTCGTACCACAACAGATTTATTGAAAATATATTTCGGTCTGGGTTGACCCTCGTCAGTTCTTGAGATTGTTTCTTCACAAAGATTAAAGTTTCAACCTAAAAAATTGTGCAACACTTCAACTCAAAAATTTGAATCTTCCTTGGTTCGACCAATTTTAAAATGATCTTTAAAATCAAGAAAACTTCGAAAATTTCGCTATAAAATGAAATATCCATGATTTCNACCCCCTCTCCCTCCTGTATTCAGTTATTTTATGATATTTTGTAAATGTTATCAGTGCACCCCCCCCTCTCCCTCCTGTATTTAACTACGATTCTCTCCCTTGAGAATTGAGTATGGATAATTCACCTGCACCAATAGTTTGTACTTTATGACAAAATATTGATGAATAATGGGTATTTTCCAACCTTATGTGGAGGATTTCACTGCTAAGCCTCTCATCTTACACACATGAATACAATACTATTATATGTTATGTTCTGTGTTAGTATTTCAGCACCTGTACCCCCCTCCCCCCACCCGATTCAATCTATAAACCCCTCACTATATTTCAGTATATTTAAATAATACTATTTTGAAATGAACCAGACAAATTGTATCACTTTTTGAAATACCGAGCTTCGGTATTTTTAAAGAGTTTAGTCGGATATTTTATTAAATTAGAGCGTAGCTAGTTTAAATTAAGTATAAGGTTTATAATATAATCGATCACTTTTTGTCCTATGTAGTTCTTACGCTTTGATTATTGAGATATTAAATAAGGACGCATTTTTAATTATTGTTTTAGCTTTTCAAAGTATTACATTTTCCGAAAAAAATAATTTTCTTCATTTTTACTAATACAGAAGAGATTGATTAAAGTTGATTAAAGTATTTCCTTACATCAATTAATAGATAAATATTGAACAAAGATAATAAATATTACTGATACAATATGGTTTAATATCATACCGGATATACGGGTAAATAGGCAGATAGATAAATATATAGATTTATATATAGATAGATAGATATACTCAAGGAGATATTCAATATCTCCTTGTATATACTGAAAGCAAAATCGATTAATACAATATATATTTATTTTATAAGATTTACACATTCAAATTTGATCGGTAAATGTATAAGATATACAAATTTTATCATCAAATATTAAATTTAAAATTGAGAAAATTCTGAGGAGAATTAACTGTCATACCAAATTGTTTGTATTAATTAGATAAAGACTTTATACGGATAGTTGTTAGATAGATAGATAGACGGATAAAGAACGGGGATAGTAGGTTAGAAAGATAGTGGTGTACCGGAAACACCCATGGGCGGAGATTTTAACGGAAACCTTGTTCTCTCTCTCCAACTATGTAACTATAAACAAATTGGAAACATGTTTTATTTTATTTCGCGCGTTAGTTTTTTCTTTTTCTTATTTATATTTAAGGGACTTTTAGACGACCAGCCCCCGATTTAAAGATTCACAACGGTACCCATAACATAAATTGGTTCAGCCTGCTTATAAAAAGTCTCATCAATTTTTAAGACAGGGTTGACTTTGAACTGTTGTAACGCCTTGGCTTTGATTTTACCGCTCTAACTCACTCATGCTTTTCTTTAGCCCTTTACATGTACATTTTAGCACTGTAAAGTACTTTTTGTTAGCTTTGTTTTTAAAGAAGCAATTGGCAAAATTCTCATTGCTTGAGAGCTTAAGACCTTTAAATCACGGTGTTGTATGATCAAGTTTTAACTTTAGAAAACTGTGTTTTTAATTGATTATTATATTTTTTGGGTCTTTCCCCAAATGACTTGTGTATGTTTGCTGCAAAAAACAATTGAATAATTATCAGAATTAAACACTTTCAGTGCTCAAGCTAAAAAACGATGATATCTGCCTCATAATTTATCAGTTTTTAAGATTACTGTACTGAAGCGGGCATGCCTATAGCTCTAGCAATAAAAGGTCATCTGAAATTAAAATTTGAAATTTCTGTTCTTTCTGAAAATATTTCATTGTATTCACTTTATTCTTAATATTTTCTATTTCCTAAAAGTTGTGTTTTATTCATTAGAATTAGTTAAGGAACCAAACATTTACTCAGAGTTAAGGAACCAAACATTTACTCAGAGTTAAGGAACCAAACATTTACTCAGAGTTAAGGAACCAAACATTCACTCAGAGTTAAGAAATAAAACATTTACTTAGACTTAAGGAACCAAACATTTACTTTGAGTTAAGGAACCAAACATTTACTCAGAGTTAAGGAACCAAATATTTACTCAGAGTTAAGGAACCAAATATTTACTCAGAGTTAAGAATTTACTCAGAGTTAAGGAACCAAATATTTACTCAGAGTTAAGAAACCAAACATTTACTCAGAGTTAAGGAACCAAACATTTACTCAAAGTTAGGGAACCAAACATTTACTCAGAGTTAAGGAACCAAACATTTACTCAGAGTTAAGGAACCAAACATTTACTTAGAGTTAAGGAACCAAACATTTACTTAAAGTTAAGGAACCAAACATTTAGTCAGAGTTAAGGAACCAAACATTTACTCTGAGTTAAGTTCAGGAAGGCATTTAACATATTTCTACACAACTGTTTGCTTTTTTTGTGTCATCACACTGGCCTATTCCAATTTGTTCTTTTTTATTATTTCTTAAACATAATTGTCTACAATCTTAATCATTTCCGTTTTTTTAGATCCATGCAATATTTTTAAATTTTTATTTTTGATCAATACAAGGTTAGGGAACAAACTACAAAAAAAGAAGTTTTCTTTTTTTCTTAAGAAAATGCAATAAAAGTAAGAATCCGTTTTAGATTAAAGTTGAATTAATTATCATTTTGTTTTTGCTTTGCATGAATTATTTTGCAAATCAAGAAGATTAATATATAATATAAATTTAAATTCAAAATATATTTTTTTGACATGTGTAAAAAGTGAGTTGAGCTTCCGGCAAGTTTTATTGTATTTTATGTGAATTTAGTTGATTTTTACGACAATAGTTTTGATGAGTATGGTTTGTGGTCTAGAGGATATATAACAGGAAATACGAATTTTTTGGTTTTGGCAATTTTTAACCGCAGCGAGGTTTAGTTTAATCTTTGATGCACCTACTTTATAGTTGCAGTTTTAATGCATACAAATTATAAAGTATCGTGATTTATTGTTTTATGTGTCTAATTTTTGTTGTTGAAAAATCATTAAAACAAAGCCAGAAG